GTTACTTGTATAATCTGATAGTTTAATTTAAAACATTGGAAGCATCGCGTGACGGTGAAAGTAAAGGAGACTGCTTAAACATTGTGTAAATTAAATAATTATCTCAGAAAATTGAAATATAGGCTTATGCATCGTAACATGAATTCCTGACGGGAAAAGCCATTCTGTTTGAATTGGGTTTCAGGTTGTCACAGCGGTGGCTTTGAAGAGTATTGTCTTCTGGGATATGACGTCGTGTATTCTGTTGAAAGTCATCTGAAACTTGGGAGGCGATGTCACCTCCATCTTCAGGTTCAACGATTAAACCAAGCAAGAAACCGGCATGAAGCTGGTAGATCTCTCTACTTACTCTGATTTCTGCCTAATTCATGCTGACTTCTTGCTTGAATTGCTATTCGACCATGAAAATGGAGGTGATATATTCCTCCGAAACGTCGGTTGACTGTCATCAGACCACACCGCGTTATATCCCAGGAGACAGGACACACAGCTTCTGCCAGACCATCCAAGGAAATGGGATGTTGGTGTCCGAATATTCTGTTATGGTCTGTCCTGTCCCGTTCCTACAAATGAAGCACTAATGACTGAGTCATCGTGTGTTTGAGACTTTTGAGGCGTAGTTTCTCAAAGCAAGAACTGTGAAGGCAGAGAAAAGCCGTTGCTAAGCAGTGTCTTCACACAACAATAGGGGAGTTGTCATTATACATGACTCTTACAGCCGTCACTATGTAGCGCACGCAGCATACGCGTGCGCGATTACGTCACGCAACAGTAGAATAGATGATGCAGCGGTGTTCTCTGTGGATCCGTTCCAAGGCTATATGACTGTTGAGGGTTCAGCTGTGGAGTGTTAACCAGCGGGCAACGGAAGCTGGAGAATCTCCATTGCTAAGAGTCATTACTAGGAAACATCTAGTGAAAAGACTGAAAATGAATAGCCATTGTGGAGAACTGTTACAAAATAAAGACTAGTGAAGGTACACTGAGAAGGCTTAGTGTGGAAATCAGCAATAGTATTATAGCTATTTGTAGTTACTACCTATAAGTGGCCAATAAATGCCAGAAGGAAAGAGACCATTGAGACGACCAAGGCGTAGATGGGTGGACAATATTACAATGGATCTTAGAGAGATAGGATGGGATAGTATGGATTTGATTGTTGTAGCTCAGAATAGGGACCAGTGGAGGGTTCTTTTGAACACGTTAATGAACTTTCGGGTTCCATAAAATTCTGGGAAATTCTTGAGTAGCATCAGAATTGTCGGTTCCTCAAGAATGGCTCAGCTCCATGAGTAAGTAAGTAAACTAAGTTAGTGGCCAATAAATATATCTGTCAATCCAAACCCCGTCTATAGTCACAAATACGTATGATAATATCATACAATCTAATTTCAGAACGTTGTAGCACCGTTATGTCTGGTACGGTGGAAGTGTCTGCGCCAAGGAATGGATTGGCTGAATGTTTTAATTTCAGTTCTTTCAAATCTAGAGTCGTTAATAATGGCGCTCCTGAGCCGACTGTTGATCCAGGCGTTACCCGAAGATCACCTTAAAATATGTGTCGAAAGCGGACCTACATAATCAGGGGTTTCATAATTTATACTCTTGCAAAATGTTATTAAGAGTAGTAAGGTGGGAGAAGCTTAAATGGGCGAAGTAAACAGCGCGTATACGAGAACATGAAATAAATAATAAAAGTAAAGCTGTCCCTGTAACAGGCCGTGAAGGCCCATAGGGTTTTGAGACGTTGAGGGTCCCACATTATCTAGACAATCTGCTCAAAGATGGCGGTAAGGTTGTCAGACTTACGCACCGGCCGCGCTTTACTCCCCAGGAGAATTATTTTATTAATTCCTGGTACTCATTTCTGTTAGAAGCTCAGTCGATCCCAGGGCCATAGTGCGGCTGAAAGGATTAGATCAATTGAAAAAAAATCCAATGACCTCATCGGGACTTGAACCCGCTACCTTCCGGCTTGTAGCATAGTGCTTCAACCAACTACGCTACCACGTGCCCCATATGATATACATAAAAGAGTTAATTCGAGAAATGAAGAAATTAACTAGAAGAACTAGTCGCAGGCGGAAAAGTAATACAGCCACGTATTTAGGGGTGTGACTATAGACGGGGTTAGGATTGGTGAATGGATTTATTGACCGCTTAAATACACGACTCGGAACTACAAGCACTTACAGCGCTATCGCTAAGCTACACAATTTACAAATCAGTATACTCGTAGCACAAGCTAAGTCTTCTGTCTGCAGTGTCTTCGCTAATCGTTGTTTGCTTAACAGCTCTCAGCAACAGAGATTCTTCAGCTTCTGTGTTCATGTCGTTACTCTTCGGCGAATGTCCCACAACCGAACTATAGCGCCATCTTTTCTCATCCTCCTTCTTAGAACTCAACTCACAACAGACTGGATCGCGGCAGTTGTCTACCTTATAACCCATTCGCATGACCCGTGTAGGAAACAACGTTTCCAAAAGTAACTCTATTGTTGCTTGCGTATTCGTTGCAGTGTGAACGTGTTTACTGATCCGTTGCCTAGAAACGGCCGTTGTTTATTCGCCTGTTACAAGTGCACCATGTGGATGTAGAGAGGTCAAGTGCGGGCTCATGTGAACATGGAAATGAACCTTTACTTTCAACTAAAGGTGGGGATTCTTTTTTAGTTGAGCGACTAGTAGCTTCTCACGATGGAATCTGCTCCATGGACACAAAGGTAGGTTTAAAGAAGGAGAACGTAGGCTTACTGTACTTGATACCATTGCAATATGGACTGTGACCGCTACAGATCCAGAGGTCCCGGGTTCGATTCTGAGGAGTAGTAGGTCTGGAACGGGGGCCACTCAGCCTCTTGAGGATAATTGAGGAGTTATTTCAAGGAAATAGCGGCTCCGGTCTAGAAAACCGAGATTAACGACTGTGGGGTTCCGTTGCACTGACCACGCGACACCCTCTATCCGCTAAAGTTGTCACTAACTTCGCCGACAAGCGGCGCTTGCTCGGTCGGTATAGTTCGCTTACGGACTAAAACCACAGAGTAATACGGACTGTAGGCACATGCAGAGGCTGTGACCTCACACTCTCCATCACATGGTGTGTCAGTCTACATTGCACACAACGCCTCCCCACTTTGGACAAATTCACGTTTTGTTACCTCGCTTCTTACAGGGGCTATGCATATTATTTCCAGTGACGCGTTAAGCACGCACTTCGCCTGTTATGACAGACAGTGTCATTTGTCTGAGGGGATTTTACGACGGTTCAGTAGTTCGCTGAACTCTCGCCGTCAACTCATTAATTTTTATCGGGGTCTCTAAATTACTGGCAACAGATGTCACCGAGGTGATCTACTGGGTTACTATATCTAATCAGAGGGTTCTGGTTTCGATAAATAAAGTATACTGTTTGTCATTGAGTCGCCCACAGGGGCCACGCGGTCTAAGACATGAACTGTCTTTGCTTGTTCGAACGCTGGGATTCGATTTGTGGGTTCGAATCCCAATTGAGGCATGGATGCCTGTGTGCATTTATTCTGTGTTTGTGTTGTTCTGTGTGTAGGTAAACGTCTTGCGACAAGCTGATCCTCCTCCCAAGGAATCCTACCGTCTGTGTATAGGATCAGTTAACTGTAAAATTGGCCAAGGCCCAACAAAATGACTGTAGAGCCATAATAATATTAATAATAATAGCAACATTAAACTGACAACCAAGCATCTGAATGTGGGAGTAATGAAATCTCCCGAAACATAACTTAGTCTATACTAAACATATCTCAGGCAATAGACAAAATGGAACATACGTTCGGTGTCAGTTGTTTGAAATCCTTGCACACGATAAGAAAATCCTGGCTGGAGATTTCATGGTATTGTTCAGGCGTGAACATATGGGACTATAGATTACATTGGGGAGGAAGAAATCACCTGTTATAATTGGACAGAAGTCCGGTCTAGAAAACCGAAATTAACGGCCGTGGGGATTCGTTGCGCTAAACACGCGACAACCTCTATCCCCTAAAATTGGAATTAACTTCACCGACAAGCGGCGGCCGCTCGGTCGATATAGTTCGCTTGCAGACTAAAGTGACGGAGTTTGTATTTTAATGGGACAGAAGATGTGTAACAGGGTCACCATAAGAGATGAACTGGGTTTAGTGGTTGTACGCTTCCTCCAAGTCCCCACACCGACCGATATAATATAAACTTGTGCCATATACCTAATGTGGACTGGGCTGTCCCATTTGAATCTGTTCTGAATTATAGGGTGTTTTCCTCACTCTCTTAACGACGAAAGCCGTGAATAGTACCGTCAAATATAACTGCAACCTTTCCTAAATTTTCCACATCATTCACGATTATCTTCCAAAACTGACGCTTATAACTTTCGCAGTTGAAAAAAAAAAGCGACGTTAAGCAGTTTAAAAGAAGCCATTACACTACAGATCTGTACGCCTTTATTTCTTCTTCATTATAACGATGTAGAGGAAGGACATATTACGACAAGCTAAAACGATTGCCTCTCACGCAGTTCCCCCCCCCTCACACGCATGCGCGCGCACACACATTTATGCACGGGGTGAGATTTGAATCCGAGACTCAAGTCTCCTGGTTCACGATCAAATACGCGTCAAATGCGGTTACGTTGAAATCTACATAATATATTTTAATACATTAAAAAATTTCAGGTTATGGCAACAGAAACGAATGACTGCAAAATTATTTATGTTTCATGTTTATGTTGCATGTGCTTGAACAATGATGGGCATATTCCCCCCTCACCGCACAACGAAAGTGTACCAAGACAAGTCACGAGTAGTACCACTGTGAGGGAGAACAAGGCTAGTCCAGACACACGTTCCTCGTCTTGGGGTGAGGGGAAGCGGGGAGGAAAGGAAAGGTTGCGCGGAGAGCATGAGAACAGACAGAGACAAACTGAGAGACACCGTACCTCTCGCGTCAGCCACCGCCTCGGAGCAGTTCGGTCTCTGCTTCGCCAGTTCGGCTCTGGGTGTAAAGTTTCAGTGTATGCGCGGCGTTGAGCGAGGCCGGTTAAGTGGGCTGGTGCGCGCGAACCGATCCCGCCAGAATTACGTTAGTGCTTCAAGGGTTGTGTTAACAACCACACATTTCTCCTCGTCTGATGTCACTACGATTATAGCGATTCAAAAAGGAGGGAATGTGTTAGAATCACCACTAATCTTGTGCAGTAAAATATACCTGCATCGGAGGCAAGGAAAAAACAGGTCAGTCGAATTAACCTCTACAAAATAAAATGGGGCAAGTTAGATAGTTTATCTACCCCTTACTTTTTGATGATGTATGTGTATATATATAGCCATACTGGGTGCCTAGAACTCGATAAGTGACCCGTGGGAAATATGGTGTGAAACACTTGGTTATTATTGAGCTTGTCCATACATTTTTAGTGCAGTAGTTACAACCCCATAACGTGTTTAGTCTCCCATATCTTCTGTTCGCTCTAACCACCTCGTACTTGTTAACATAACTGATTTTACGACTAACATGCCAGCATCAACTAGGGTCATAACGGACTGTCTTAGTTGAAGTTGTTGGTAACTAAGTAAATAAGTGAGTGTTTATACTTGTGGTTATGTCTATGATCATAAAGCAACAGTTTAACGGAATGTTTACTTCTGGTTTGTTTGAAGTGCAGCCTCAGTTTATTTAAATCAGCTGTGTGGTAAGGTGCAAATGAATAGCGTGTTGCGTTTGTGGTTGTAGGAGGTTATGGACGTCAACTGTGGCAGTCTTTAAGTAGTCAGTCGAATATTTACTGATATAAATATATTGATATATGACACGTTGTAATATATGAGGCGTATATTGTGTTAATGGGGCACGCGTAGTTGGTTGAGGGGCTAAGCTACAAGCCGGGAGGTCGCGGGTTCAAGTCGCGATGAGGTCATCGGATTTTTTTTTTCAGTTGACTTAATCCTTCCAGCCGCACTAGGCCATGGGGCTGACTCAGGCTCTAACTGAAACGAGTACCAGGAATTAATTAAATAACTTTCCTGGGGAGTAAAACGCGGCCGGCGCGTTAGGCTGACAACCTTACCGCCATCTTTGAGCTGATTGTCTAGATAGTGTGGGAGCCTCGACGTCTCACAACCCTATTGGCCTTCACGGACTGGTACAGGGATAGCTTTACTTTTTTATATTGTGTTAATAACGTAGAAATATGTGTTACTACTCGCGTTCAGTGTGGTTTGTGTAAATTATAAAGTGTTCTTATCGTGTGTCGATGGTAATTTCGATATTAGTGTCGTGTTGTTGATTTATAGTGACGAATTGAATTGAATATGAAGAATATGTCCGTTGCTTGGCAACATTTCAGTATGTACGTAATAATTATCTTATCTGATTTCGAACTGTGGTTCTTCACAATACGAAACGCGTGTGTTAGTGCAGGCAAGAGGAGTGACCAGTAATTTCAACTCATCTCGTGTAACGAGGCGCGAGAACTAACGTTGAGGGAGACATTCTTTGCAAAAGCATCGATTGTATGTTGGCGAACATGTCAAGAACAGTCTTGACACAATAATTTAAATCTATGACCGTGTAAGGTGTTACACTGTATCCTTCGTAGTAACGAAGTTGTGTTACCGGTCCCCAGCTTTGACATTACGCAGTTCCGCTACCATTTTCTAGTTATAATTCAAGATAATAAAAAACACATGAATTGTGCGAATTTTCTAGGGTTTTTTGTTTAATGACGTCACTATGCAGACTATATACCGTCGGGCTAGCGTGAAGACAGCTCGGATCTAGAAGAGATGATTTTAAATACAGGAGTCATTGAAAATATTGTGCAAATAGAAATTCTGTGGTTTGTACTTATCTTAGACTAATATAGGATCGCTGATAACAGCGACCGAGCCGTCTAAGGCATGAATTCGCTTCGCCAGCTCAAACATTTGGATCGTGGGTTCGAATCCCACTCGAGGAATGGATGTCTGTGTGCGTTTATTCTGTATTTGTGTTGTCCTGTGTAAAGGTAGTGGCCTTGCGACGGAGTGATCCCCCGTCCAAGAAGTCCTACCGACTGTGTTTAGGATTAGGAAACTTGAAAAAGAAGCCAGGGTCGAACAAAGGGCTGTAGAGCTATACTAATAATGTTAGGCTGAATATATGAATTCATTTTCAGATTAATTTGCAGTGTAAAAGGAAAACGTAAACGGTAGATTTTAGTTTGAAATGCACAATTAAAATAAATTACGTTTCAGACCTAACCTTAAATAAGAATATAGTGTTCAAATTAATTTTGAGAACATGTAGCAGCTCAGTGAGGCACCAATTAGAGGTGCTGATTACTGTAAGTGACGAACCCACATTTCCAATCAAAGCATGAAACCATGGAAGCTCAGTCATTCACTTATATGTAAAAAGCAATACAGAAACTATTAGTTCCCAGTTCATAAATTAGTTTTAAAATCACGATAAGTATTACTAAGGAATTCGTATAAAGAGGAAGGTAATCTTAAAAACAATTTGAATGAAACCTTTACATTTTTATTATTATTATTATTGCAGATTTCTGATCAGTCTTTCACGCGTGATGTTTGCTGTTCGTGTTATTGGCTGTAGATACATGCAAGTTTAGTTAAGGTAGGCCGCACATCGGCATGCGTCAAGACATGTAACAGTCAAGACACGATGTCTGCGGTATGACGCAAAGAAAGGAGCACAGTTGAAACGAATGAGATTATGAAAACCGCCTCACACCGGTCTGAGGCATGATGATGACGTCAAAGCTCACACCGGTATTCGGAGGTTTTCATAATCTCATTCGTTTCAACTGTGCTCCTTTCTTTGCGTCATGTCGCAGACATCGTGTCTTGACTGTTACATGTCTTGACGTATGCTGATGTGCGGCCTACCTTAACTAAACTTGCATGTATCTACAGCCAATAACACGAACAGCAAACATCACGCGTGAAAGACTGATCAGAAATCTGCAATAATAATAATAATAAAAATGTAAAGGTTTCATTCAAATTGTTTTTNATTATTAAAGTAGTTTTAAATAATTCATGCAGACTCTTAAAGCAAAGCAGAGGGGGAGCATATCCGACATCGAATTTTATTACGAGGTAGCACTTCCAGCGACAAGATTAGACTGTAAACCCTGTAGTATAAAGATAAGGAAAGACGTTAGACCATTAATATTAGAGTTATTACACAGCAAATATAATCGTTGTATTTTTAAAGTATTTTTTTTATTTCATTCATCGTTGCAGATTTTAAAACAAATGTTTGTTTTTTTTTTCAAATTCATCAGCTGAACAAATACTATTTGGTCCCTACGTAAGGTTGCTCTCACGCCATGGACCTAGGGATAGAACAGAATATGTTTATATTCACCTGATGAAGGAAACAGAGAAAACTTTCGAAACACAGTGGTTTTAAAATTGAAGTTGGAACGTGTTTAAGAAAATAGCCTTAATCGGTATGCCATTGTTAAGCATAGTTTATCATTTTCGAAAGAGCAATATATTCTGCGATATAAAGCCTTATAGTCCGTTGAAATCAAACCGATGTTTCGAAGAAACGTGTGACCTCCATCTTCATGGTCGAAGAGTAAGCTAAACAGGAAACCAGAATGAAACAGGCAGAAGGCATTTTATTCCAGAGCATAGAAATGTTCATAACCACCGTCGTGAAAACCTCAATTTCAGTCACTTTTTGTAGCCAATAGAGTGTAGCATACAATTTCTTTATTAAAATCGTCACAACACAACTATATCAAGGTCAGTGCCTAATTTGGCTCTGCTACATGTTTCGGCTATTAAAATCCATCATCAGGCAAATAAATGGCTAACATATATACACCACTGAACTACGGTACTAATAAAACTGGATACAATAATGTTAATTATATTAAAATACTTGGCGTAAAAATGCAATAAATTAGATTATATAAAACAAAAGTTATAGTATAAAACAAGAATAAAAATTCTTCGATTGATGGTTTACATCATCGAGTCAGTCGTTGGTTTTTGTGATTTTGTTGTGTTCCCACGGACAAATTGGAGTATCTATATTTTGTGTTTATATAATAAACTGTTTTGGAGGCTCGTGATGTAGGTGTAGTAATATTAATATTAATTATTTAGTCGGTGCCTCATCTTACAAAGTATTGCCCGTTCTGTAGGGAACGTAAACAACGAGCCTCCAAAACAGTTTATTATATAAACACAAAATATAGATACTCCAATTTGTCCGTGGGAACACAACAAAATCACAAAAACCAACGACTGACTCGATGATGTAAACCATCAATCGAAGAATTTTTATTCTTGTTTTATACTATAACTTTTGTTTTATATAATCTAATTTATTGCATTTTTACGCCAAGTATTTTAATATAATTAACATTATTGTATCCAATTTATTAATACTGCAGTTCAGTGGTGTACATATGCTAGCCATGTATTTTCCTGATGATGGCTTGTAATAGCTGAAACATGTAGCAGAGCCAAACTAGGCACTGACCTTGATATAGTTGTGTTGTGACGGTTTTAATAAAGAAATTGTATATTATAACACAGCAGGATGCATGAAATGAAAAAACAATGTAGCATACTTATTGACATATATTTTCTATTCAAATGTTCAGTTTCCTTTTAGTGGCAGGAATTTTAAAGATGAACGGCGAAGCTTTCGGACAGTACGAAAATTTCTGTTAATATTTCTCTACGTTTTTTTTTTATAAATTATTCATTCGTTACTCGGAATATATTGGAAGACAGCAAATCCAACATCCCAAATTGTTTTAACGTTTTTTTCTTTCGCAGTTACACCATGCTAATATCGAGATATTTTAAAATACGTCCATTACGGTTCCTTCTATAGAGTTCAGAGTCCTGCGATTTAGGCAACCTGCCAATCGTAATTAGGTGTAATGTGAATCTGTACATTTACACACTGTGTCATTAGATTTACCAGGAGGCGTGCATGATTCCATGTGTAATTCAGTTAAGAGTCCTTTAGGCCAGATCGCGGGTTCAATGACCGATTCCTGGAACAAACATAAAAAAATATGTGTGTCCATTGACACACAGAAGCTACTTTTTCAAGAGCGCGTGTGACGTCGTAGCTAGCCCGAGACATTTTATAACCTTCTATAAACATCCGTTTTACTGATCTCTTAGCAAGAACATGCTATAGAGTCCCAACTCCTTATTTCAATACATCAGACCTTGTAATTGTCCTATCGACGAGA